ATAGATGTTCACCCTCTCGAAATTTTAACTTGTTCTTCTGGGAGAGAAAATCTGAATAGAACGTATTTCAAAATTAATAATACCAACGTATTAAATTATTCTTACATTTTGAACTGAAGATGTAGCCATATTTCATTTATTAAAACATAAGAAATAAGTATCTAGAATAATAAACTATATATAGAAAATTAAGTATAGAAAATTATCACAATTTTTGTAAAGTATGAAAAAAAAACTAAACAAATAAACATTCTCAGTCTGTACGTGCTGCTGTACATGTCATACATCGAACATGATGTTGATCATTAGTTCTTCTACAAATTGAACATTCCCAAGAACCCTAGTCGAAAACAAAAGAAATGATTATTAATTTCAATAAACAAGAATAAAGAAAGAAACACTTGCAGTATTTCGAAATATTTTTGGATGTGTTAAAACAAATAAAACAAATAAAGAATTTGGTCCAACATTTAAATCTCTCATTGTTGAATTATCATGAGCTAAACAACCATTAACAAAAAAATATTGATTATTTGGAGGATATTGATATGCAAATTCAAACTAAAATAATCAAATAATTCATATATAAATACAATGTAATTATTTCGTTTTTTTTTTCGTCTTTTACATACAGCTGCACGTAATTCACGAACTGTTGTTAATTGAAAGACATCAACAGGAATTTTTCCACCATTTTGATCAATACCATATTCATCACCATCAAGTTGAACATAAATTCTATTTATTAGGAAAAAATAAATAAATATTAAAAAAAATTACAGAAACATAATATTTTATTAAACAAACGTGAATTCTTTTTCATTTTCAGTTGTTCTCGATGATTTTGCTTGAAGTCGAATATTTTGTGAAGCTAATTGAGAAGCTAATTGTGCAGCTGCAGTTCCAGCACCTACTTCAATATATTTACCCAAACGATAAGCATCGAGTAGAAGTTCTAGAATATAAATAGGAAATAATTTTCAGAGTACATTTATTTGTTTAGGAAATAATCATATTGAATGAACGACAATTATGATGTTCAAAATTAATAAAAACTTTGAAATAAAAAAAAATAGTTATCTTCTATCAATCGAAAATGATGATCTGCATTAACATGAAATCAATAGAGACATATTAGAACTATAATCAAAAGTAATGTATATTTCTTTTTGATTGCACCAACATGTTTATTTTAAAATGGATTAATATTTTTAATTCAATTTTGTTAGTGTATCCTTTACGGGATGGATGTGTACATTCAAATAAGATTATATAAAAAAATTTGTATGAAAGCCTTACCTTTTGGAGAAGCAATAGGTGAATCAGTTGTATCAGGTTCACTATAAGTATCATCATCGGAGGTATCACTGGTGTCATTAGTATCGTTGTCATCAGTGTCTTGATCTGATTCGTTTAAAGTTAAATGCGATTGTTCACCAAAAGATAGTTGTGCAATACATTTATCTAATTCTTTATGAAATTGATTATATGTAGCATCATTCAACCAAACCCTATAAGTTCCAGCATTACTATGAATCTCATCCGGTTGATTGACTGTTTGTCCACGTTTATATTGATCTGATTGTTTAAATGGAATATTAAAGATTTCCTAAAATACAATCCTATTTCTATAATCAAATATTCAAGTCAATTATTGTCATACGGCTTTATTATTATCGACATCAACAGCTCGTAATGAATAATCACCAAAATCATATTGTCTCAATTCAATTAATGTTCTATCTGAATAATTACGTTCCGGACGTTGTCGATCATTCGGAATAAATTGAATACGACATCTACTATAACTTGCAACACTCATTTTATCTAGATTACAAAAAGAAAAGAAACGAGATTATTTTTCTTGTCTAAAAAGCAAAAAAAAACTTTATATCACAATAGAAAAAAAAAATTGTTATAAAAACTATTGAATTATTAATGTCAAGGAAAAGAAAAGAAAATTGTTTGAACAAATCATTAAAAATAAATTCAAAATAATTGTTATTTTAATTTTATTATTATTGAATTATAAATAAAATAAAAAGTGAATTTTGTTGAACATTTAAATCTTGTATAGTAGAATTTTCATGAGCTAAATGACCATTAACAAAAAAATATTGATTTGATGGTAAATTATAATTAGAATATCCTAACTGTAATAGAAAATAAAGTCTTTAGAAAAAAAAAATGAATGTGTGTTTTGTTTTTACTTACAGCAGCACGTAATTCATGAATTTTTGTTGATGGATAAACATCGGCGGTAAATGTATCATATTTATTACTCAAATCTTGATTATTACTATCAATTTGGATTCGAATTCTATTTAACAATATAAGAAATGAACTGAAAATGATATTTTTTTTTCTGTTTACATACTGAATTATCTGTTCTTCTTTCGATTGTCTCCATGGATTTGCTTGAAGTTGAACATGTTGATTAGCTAATTTCTTACTTACAGCAATAGCTTCATCGACATCACCTTGTCTTATATGTTGGCCCAATCGGTAAACATCAGCCAAAACATCTACACGATTTAAATGTTCTACAAAATAATAATTATAATAATTATAATAATAATACGAAAATATTCATTGAATAAACAAACGAATTTATCACAAACTCCTACGAGACAACTTATGAATAATATTTCAATAGAATAAAAATAAAAGATTATCTATCTGAAGATTCATTGTTTTTCGAGATTTCTCTCTTTTATATCTATTGATCATATGAATATTGTTTGTCTTACGCTTCTTAATATTGGTCAAAATGAAATTTACAATAACAAAACTATTGTCTTGTATTCCAATAGTTATTTTTGCTGACAAAATTTAATTAGTATGACAAGAAAAAATTTCAAGAGGAAACAAGCAAAAGTTTGTCCGACAAAACTCTACATTACCATTATCAAGACTATGGAAGCTTCCAAAAATATAACATCATATATTTATTATGAATTTCTTTGTCGTTTAATATATAATTCTATCACTATCATTATATATATGACAAAGATAATTCTAACTTTGAAACTTTAACTGTTAAAATCAAACATGATACTAATAAAAAACCCAGAACAATATCTTCACCAAATGTCTATAACTGTGAGATCTCTTACTCTTATTTCCTATTCGTTCATTTATTTGAAGAATGAAAAGCCAATCATTTTCTAAATAATAAGAATATCTTACCATTGCTATCTTTATGTGCCGGTGGCTTTGCTCGTGTATCATTATATTGTCGATTTTCTTTTAGTGGAACATCAGGTTGAGGAGATGGATGTTGAGGCGATTGTTTGCGAATTTCGTCCAATTGTTCGATAGCTGTATCTAATGCTTTATGAAATTGATCACGTGTATCATCATTTAACCATAGCAAATAAACTCCATTATTAGTACGAATTCCATCCGGTTGATTGGCTACTTGTCTACGTTTATATTGATCTGATTGTTTAAATGGAATAGTAAAGATTTCCTACAATAGAATATTGTTTAATTAATAAAATATTATATTAAACTATTGTCATACGCTTTTGTTATTATCGACATCAATAGCTCGTAATGAATAATCACCAAAATCATATTGTCTCAATTCAATTAATGTTCTATCTGAATAATTACGTTCCGAACTTTGTTGATCATTTGGAACGAATCGAATACGACATCTACTATAACTTGCAACACTCATTTTCTATCAAACTAAAATCTTCGAAAACAGAACAAGAAAAAATAAGAACGCTGTAATAAAAAAATTTCCAACTAATATGAATCAGTGATTTGTTTTTGGTTTTTTTTTTTATCTTAAGTCAGCAAATTCCAAATAAAGCATTTTAATATCAAAAATTGCTAAAATTTTATAGAAAAAAAATTTGTTCATTATAACATGATGATGAGTCTGAATAGATGTTATCCAATTAATTGTAGAGGTTTTTGACTATTTTTCCATTGGTCGCAATAAAAAGCAGTTGATTATGAGTTTACAATAGATGAGACTCATACAGTTTTCTTCCTCGAAACGAAAAAATAAATGTCCTCACATCTTTGGCCAACAGTTGAAACATCAAAAGTTAATTCATTATGGTTTCGACCATTACAACCTGGTAGAAAAGAATTATATTGAAAGATTCATTTTTTATAATATATTTTTGTAGCTCGAGAAGATATTAGTTTAGCTAAATTTGAAGAAATACTTGAACAAGAACGACGACGTTATCTTGAAAAGGGTTTTTAGTACTTTTGTTTCTGACATGTTTTATTTAATTTTAAGTTAAATTCATTCAATTTAAGGTTTAAATTTACCATTTCATGGACGAACAGAAATGGATAATGGCGATGTATGATTATTATTTAAAAACCAAATTATAGAAATTTTTTTTTTTTGTAGGATGATGAAGATGGTGATGAAGCTGAAGAAGAAAGTGAAGGTGGTGAACAAGATGATGAAATGGACGCACAACAAGGTCCTGGATCCCCAGTAAATGGAGTCGGTGGAGGAGTAGCATAACATAATGTGTTCAAAAATTCATCATCTTTCTGTCTGATTTTCTCTTTTTTTTTTTTTGTAAATAAATATGTTTCTTTCAAGCATACTATATTTACTTGTATTTTCTTTCAGATATGTCTTCGAATAATAAGTAAGAAATGAAAAAAA